TGTATATATATATAAAGTATATATTACGTGTAGTATATATTGCGTATATATATATAAAGTATACATTACGTATATATATATAAAGTATATATTACGTATATATATATAATATATATAATTTACGTTATATATAATATATATATTACGTATATATATACATAAAGTTTACGTATATATATAATTATATAATTATATATAATTATATATATAATTATTTGGACAACTGGACAATTGTACCTGTATGCTCTCACGCGACACACCTTTCACGCGATCATTTTCACGCTTCGGTCATCGGGATTTCTTTCGCGTTCTGTGGATTCTCGTTCCGAGGACGCTTGTTTCATTTGTATAATGTAACGTGTCCCGTTCGTCTCGTTGTTCTTCGTGTAAACGCGAACGTAATATTTAAATGTACATTTCTTGCAAAGCACGTTGTTCACGAGGATTCGTCGATGCGTGTAAAAGTGAGCGATGAAGGCAGCCTGACGGATCGAACTGGAACGAAGGAGCCTTTCGCACGATCTAGCGAGGATTCCCGTTCCATTCGGTTCCGGACCGAAGTCCGAAGTGATTGCTGCTCGTCAGTTCTTCCGCCTTATCTGTCATTTTCAGCGACGAATCCTTGTCGAACGATATCGTTGGACGGATAACGAAAGAAGGAAGTTCAGAGTCCCCTGTATTCAGATCTATACGTACTAACGATAAGTTTATACGATATATTTATATTACTACATATATATATATTGTACACACATATACACGTGATACGCGCGCGTGTAACGATATTATATACAGTGATGCTCGCGGAGGAATCGCATCTCTGTTGACAAAAGAAAGCTCAATGTATAGAGGTACATATGTATATGTATAGAGTATCATAATGAATAGGGAACCTGTGAAAAAAGTTTTCTAAGTGTTAAAAAGAGAGAGAGAGAGAGAGAGAGAACGTTTAAATTCTTAAAACTTTGGAAACGTCGCGTCTGATCGCGGCGAGATCGAATTTTCGGAAACGTCAAACACATCTTTCGAGTACGCTAATCGGAGCAATATTCGTCCAGTGGAATAGATTTAACGAAAAAACTGAAAAACTCCAAAACGACACAGTGATCCACCTGTAAAACGAGTCTCCGTTTTATACCGTACTTACCATACATACATGTCGAATAAATGTACTTGTCTGTAAAATGTATCGAGCGACTCCTTTTGTACTGTATATCGACGTGACTTTGATAGCGGAACATTCCATACGTGTAAACGTGTTTGTTACATTTACGTAGAAACGGATCTTCATTTGACGCTGTTCGTTTCACAACTTTATACGAAACCCCGCCCCCCGCCCTCTCCCCACCCCCTTGTACATGTTTCGTTTCAACAAACTGGTTTGCGACACCGATGTTACCATCGCGACGGAATTGTATAGAAAAAATAAAATATTTAATAAACGATTTATGGATTATTCGACACCGGTTTGTCTCTTTGTGAAGACAGCGAGACCAACGACCCCCTCCGAAAGAATATCGCTTAATCAGAAACGATGGCTGGGCATAAATATCGATCGGCGTTTACCCGCGTTGAGCATTGAATTGCAAATTCGCCTCCAGCGATATCTCTCAGCTTTGTCTGTTGTTCATTTGCCTGTAAGCGACTATTAATTGCCAATAATTGGGATTATTGAGTTTCGTTGTTGCCCAGTCGTTGTCAGTTTGCAATTAAATGCGACACGACGAAACATTTGCCGTTCCAATTCCATTCTTGCAGCCATTTCACGCAAATGAACGATTTGTTAAATGTGAAAATATGTGCATGCATCGACGAACGTCGTACGAGCGTCGAAGCGCGAGAATTCACGCGACTCGGAACTCGAACCAGCAAATCGATCGAAATTTCTAGAATGCAGAACGATTCCGCTGCAACCTGAATACGTACGTACGTATATATATATATATATATA